AAAGCTACAGATTCAAGACATTGGGAGTGTTCACTTTAAATCTCATAATGGTGTTGTTAGAACGCTTTATCATGTAAAGTATGTACCTAGTTGTAGCTATAATTTAATTGCTTTAGGTGAGTTAGCTTTTCAGGAGTACACATACTATGACAGTAATGATTCATTGAAAGTGTACAAGAATAGTAATGTGATTCTACAAGAGAATAGGGTTAAAAATTACTCGTACATGCTTGATGGAGGCTCAGTTGCTGGGATTCCTGTGATGAAAGAAAAAGAAAAAAGGCAAGTGTGTCAGCTTTGCAGGTACTGTTAAAGTATTTAGAGATTCAAGTCAATGGAGAATTTGTTGAGATTTGCTTTGAATCTCATAATCTCACATCAAAAGTAAAGTGAAGTTATAAGAGTTTGAGTTTATCTTGTATCTCATATCGAAAGTTTAATAAAAGTATAAAGGGTTTCACCTTTATAAATAAGATATTTTGGTTTTAATTTGGTAATCCCAGATAGTTAGACATTAAGAGAATAGCTAGGTGAGTAGGCTATTAAAAGGGTGTAATTAGGTTTTGGGTTAAGTTTTGAGTAAGAAGTTTTTAGTGACTTTTCTTATTCCAAAAGTCTCTCAGTTGTAAAGATTTATTTGATAGTAGATTAGGTTTGAAGTAGGCCATTTTGAGTTAAGCTGAAACAAATATATTTGTGTGTTTTTATTTTTGATTTGAGTTTGTTATTTTATTCATGGGTGCTGTGTATGCGTATTGATTTTTCAATAGTGTGAACAAAAAAATAAATAATTAATAGATATTTAAATAATTTTACTAAAGATTAGTTTTGTAATAAAAATTTTGGAGCGTATTAAATAGTTTTTGGAGTTCAAATAGAAATACTATATTTTCAAGCTTTAAGGCATTATGGACTTTGTGCTGATCTGACTGGACTAAATGGTTATGGGAATGCCTCCCAACGAGACCGAGATGGGTCTTAGACAAGCATAGCTACCTCAAGTCTCGTTAGTATAACATGATCAAGCATATGTTTCATACTGCCACCTCAAGTCAGGGGTAAAAAAAATGAGAAAATAAAAATTAATATAAAATTAAAGTATTTAGTTTGATTTGAATATTTTTTTTTTTCGATTCAAATTAAATTTAGATATTAAGTATATATTAAATTTAAATCAGATTTTAAATTAAAAAATAAAAATTTTAAAAAAATGAATCAGACTGAATTATATATTTTTATTAATTTATATATATTTAAAATTTTTAGAAAATAAAATAATTATTTAATATCTAAATCTATTTAAATATATTAAAAATTATATTAAAATAATATATAAAAATAAAAAATTTAAAATTTAAAAACTAATGAACCGAATTGAACCATTGAATTTGTTCTAAATTGGATTATATAAAACTTTGATTTAAATTCAAATCAAATTTAAAAAATTTATAATTTTATGTATTATCTAAAAAATATGAACCGAATATGATTCAATTGAACTATTCTCACCCTTACCTCATGTCAAATCTAACCATGTTAGCTAAGTATAAATATTCCATTTTCTCCTTAACCATAAGTTACTATTTCTCTCATTTCCTCATTTGCCAACATATTCTTGCTTTCCCTCGCTTCTTTTAATCCTCTAGCTTAAGCGTGGAAGTACATATAACGACTTAAAAAGATCAAAGCACTGGAGAGAAAACTTATGCAATCAGCAGCTTATAATCTTCTTGAAAAGACTTTTGCCAATCAATCCCATGGACGAGGGCGTTGGCCTTTTCAAATCAATTGCGGAAAGTCAGTCAATAATAATCGAAGTTAAGAATAACTCCAAAGACCAAAAACCCGTTTTAAATTGATGTTTGAAAAAAAAATGGCTTTATCCTTGACTTTTGCAAATGGAATTAATCAATTCCCATAGAAAAAACTTGCCAATCAACGCCATCTCTGTTTCACCTTTTCGAACCAGTTGCTTATTTAATTCCATTGATACATAGTATGCTCCTCATAATAATACATATCATAATAGATAATGAAATTTGGATTTGGATTTGGATTTAAGATCATTTTAAATTTCAAATTGTTTAGTTGAATTTTGGATCCGGAATTCAAAAATTTTAGATGAGAGCTGTAATTGGAATCGAATTTAACAAATTCCTTGTTAAGAAAGTAAATTGGAATCGAAGTTGTACTTCCTAAAATCTCTCAAAAGTGCAATAAACTAATAATTTTTTTTTATATATTTGGGGTAATTATCAAGAATTGAGTGTTGTGTCAACTAATGCAATCTTTGCTAAAGAAAGAAATTTGGGTCAAAAATAGGTTTTTCAGTATGTTGCAAATGGTCTTTAAAAATGTTGTCTCACGAAATAATGCCCAGTGAAAAAGAATAGGATTGCACTTTAAGTTCTTCTTTAATACACTTGAATCAAAATAAAAAAAATAAACATGAAGGAAGAATCTGATATTTTGATTCGAAAGATGTGAAGATGTGTTAAAATGAACGTTAATGAAAGAGGGCTCAACTAGTACTTGAAACACCATTTTATCAATGAATATCTTTTGGATGAAAAATTCTCTCTTTTAGAATAAAATACCATGTCCAACAGATATATTTTTTGACTTTTCAAGAATGGCATTCGAATATTCAATTTAAGGTATTCGAATGCTTTATATTATTTTCTCAAACAGAATGAAAATTCTACAAGATAATCAACTGCCTCCATTGAGTATTCCACTGCCACAAAATTTTGTTTGGCATTCGACTGCCTCTTCATGGTCATGTGAATGCCATGTTCTAACATTAAACAGAATGCATTTTGGCATAGGATGGTCCAATGCTATCTAAGCTGGTTTTCACTCCAGTACTTCCAAAATATAATTTCTCAACACATAAGTACTATATAATTCAAAACCAACGTTTTCATTTTCATGAACTTAAGAAAACATTTTCTTCCATAATATATACTATAATCGCTCGTTTATTAACATGGAATGCACATGTATACAATTCTAAAAAATGCAATGTGATTCTTATGTAAAGTGTATGTCTAAAAATGATCATGACTTGAACCTTTAGATTAAATATGGAATACAAAGAAACATATTCATACCTTACATTGATTCGTGTGTTCCTCAAAGGGTAGGGCAATTTAATAATGGATCTTTCTAGATTTTATGTTAGCAAATACTTTAGAATCCGAGGATATATTACATTTGAAAGTAAAGAAATAATGCAAATCTATCTATATATTTTCTTTCTCTTCCCTTATTTTTCTCTGCCAAACAAAGGAAATTAAGGATGGAAGGAAGAATTATATTCTTTCCACCTTCTTTCTTCCTTGCTCTTTATTCCCCCCCTACCAAACACAGTTTTAGGAAAATCCAATTTTGTAGCCATCCGCTATTCTCTTGCATCCATAGAACATGTTATGTGACAAAAAATTTTGGGATAAAATTCAAGATATTTTGTTAATTTTGTTCGGATAATAAAATAGTTACTGTTAGCCATTAACACTATGATCTATTGGTAAAGCATTAAATTTTTACTTTAAATGATCAAATCGTTGACAGTCTCGAGTACCATAAATAGTTACTCTTCGATATATATAAAAATAATAAAATTTTCAATTATATGTTTTTTTTTTCAAACCACAACAACAACTTAAACTCATTAGATATGTTTTTCCACAGCGTAAAGATCCTGGCATCGATTTATGCTAATTATGTGGTATTCAATCCTTCTAGCTCATCAGTCACTTTCATTTGGTGACTTAGCCCCCAGTCTTCACGTCTTGATTAATTGATTTTGTGGGTTGTAATTAATTTGACTGGGAAGTATGTTGAAAAAGCATGTATCAGACAAAGGATTAGCTAGCTCGTATGATATAATTCAAAAGTGAAATCAGGAATATGACTGTGTTGATAGCAAAATAACCCAAGGAATGGGGTAAGGAATTTAGCCAATTAAGTCTAAAGTAGGTTTAGCTCAATAAATGTGATTAAAGGATAAAATGGGTATAGATTGATATGTATATACAGTCCAAAAGAAGAAAATTCTACCCAATTTATCAAGTAATCCTATCTCTATCATAATTGCAAAATCATGATACAAAACAATATATAATGAAAATTAATTAATAATATATTTAGTAATATTGAAAATTACTATAGATAACGGAAATAGGTCCGCTGTGTTGCAGATCAACTTTTTCTGAATTGATTAAAACATTTTTTTTCTTAATTTTTATATTTTATATGAATGTAAATACACGTTAATATTAATATTAATCGTAATAATACTTCTGAGAAATAAAATGGTTATCGTAAATTTAATATGTAATGATATATATAATTATAGCAAAATTTTACATTTATAATATGTTTCTTTGTATCTTTCATATTAATGTAAGCTTATTCGGGACTATAATATATAATTTAATTTTATCCTTACTCAAAAATATCAAAATTTAAGATTTTAACATAATTATAGTTTTAGAAACTTTAATAAGAATAACAATTATTTTTAGAGAATTTTTTGAGATACTGAAATTTGAAGGAATTAGATAGAAGAAAATTGGAAAGTACAGTAATTTTTAATTTGAGCCGGACATCATTAAAATAAAATAAACGAATATGACAAAAGCGACCTGGTTTGATGGGGAAGACCAGTGGTCCATCTATTAGTGCACATTTAAGGCCTGTTTGGCATTGCAATTGGAGCGTGTTTAATCAGAATTGTCAAATTTGATCATAATCGCAATGTCAAACACGTTGTAGAATTTCGATTAAAATTCTAATTGTGGTGAAATTGCTATTGGAGAGTTGAAACCTATTTAAGCATGCTCTCTAGGCTTTTCCATGATCATACAACTATTTTATCAATTTACGTTTCCTCTTCCTGCTTTGTTATTCACATACGTCCCATAATCATGAATTGTAACACTAGCTTTAATCTTATTTCAGTGTTTTCCATACAATGTTTCATACTTGGCTTAGCTATGACGGTCAGGAATCTCACCACCGATCAATTTGCTCTTCTCGGATTTAAAGATCATATCCTTGACCCTCACAATGTCTTGGCAAACAATTGGTCGGCCTCTAATTCTGTTTGCAGTTGGATTGGTGTTTCTTGTGGTGTCAAGCATGGAAGAGTGACATCCTTGACTCTTCCAAATATGAATCTTGGAGGAACTATCCCTCCACATCTTGGAAATCTCTCATTTCTACTCTATCTCGACCTGAGTAAAAACAATTTCTATGGTAATCTACCTAAAGAATTGGGGCAACTGCGTCGTCTGAGGCTCATTCAATTAAGCTTCAACGGCTTTTATGGAGGAATTCCATCATGGCTTGGGAACCTACAAACAGTTAAAGAGCTGAGCTTGTACAGTAAAAATTTCACAGGTACAATCCATCGTACACTTGTTAACATGTCCAAACTAGAGATTTTGGACTTGGGATACAATCAACTATCTGGTCAGGTTCCATCTTCCATCTTCAACATTTCCTCTTTGAAAGAGATTTATCTCGACGATAATATTCTTTCTGGTAGTTTACCGGATGATTTGTGTGTCCATCTTCCTAAACTTGAGGTGCTTTTCTTGCATAAAAATGGATTGTCCGGTTATATTCCATCAAGTATAGGCAAATGCAGCAACCTTCAAATACTATCAATGGCTATTAATCAATTCAATGGGGTTATTCCAAGAAACATTGGAAATTTAACGCATCTCAAGGAAGTATATTTGGGTGTAAAAAACTTAGAAGGTATGTCATGCACTTACCGTTGATTTCTTTAGTCTAAAACAAATTTTGATTTATTAATTTTCATTTTGGTTCATACTAACCACTCCAATTTAGTTTGGAATAGAAAGAATACCTCTCTGATTTACACTAACAAAATGAGTAGCCTAACACCTTGATTTTTCCACTAAATATGTTTGCAGGTGAACTTCCTGACGAAATTTGTAATCTTCTTAGTTTGGAGATACTAAATATTGGAGGAATTATGGGCCTTACTGGTCAGATTCCACCTTCCATTTTCAACATTTCTTCTTTGAAAGATGTTGCTCTCGACAACAATAGTCTATCAGGTAGTTTACCTGATGATTTGTGTCATCATCTTCCCAAGATTGAGGAGATTTTCTTGGATCGGAATCAATTATCTGGTAATATTCCATCAAGTATAGGCCAATGCTACAACCTGCAGAATTTATCATTAGAGACGAACCGATTCACCGGGCTCATTCCAAAAAGTATTGAGAATTTAACCATGCTCAAATTTTTAAATCTTGCTGGAAACAGTTTGGAAGGTATGCTTTTGCCTTTGATTTTTTCTCCAATTCTAAAAACATTATATCTAGTTTGTTTCTTCATTTTAGTTCATAGTTTTTTTAGAGCTATTTGGTTCCACAAAGTCTTTTGTTTTAGAAATTTTTAGGGCCAATTTTAACCTAATAGACTCATTGCTAGAATATTTTTTATAGGTATACTAAAATATGATCGCAACATAATTAGACTTTAGGCTCTCTTCGTTACCATACACTACCTAAATTTTCTTCCTTTGAGATAACATTTGCAATAAAATTTGAATTATCATTTTGGTTGATTTCTTCTTTCCATTTCCCTTCTTTTTTTAAAACTTTCTAATTTAAAAATTTTTCAAAAATATCCCTAATCTTTTCATTTATTAAAAATTAGCTAATAATTAGTCACATTCTTAAAAAAAAAAAAAAAAAACAACGTAGAGTTAAAACTTCAAAGGAAAGAAGTTAAGAACTTTCATTTGCAACTTCTGGTAACGTTAAATGTCAAACGTAAAATCATTACATTAGGTAAAAAGACCCAATTTAAATATAGAATTATAAAAATTCCAAGATTTTTTTAAAAATTATAATATAAGAAATTTAAGACTTAATATATATGTGATGGTATCATTTAACAAACCTATTCACGTATAATGAAACTTATTATATGATAAATTCAAAAAAATAAAAACAATTTTTCTTAAATAAATTTAGAATATAATATTATATTAAATATTAAACTTAAAATTAGTTGGCTTTAAATTGAAAGCTTAACTAGAATCATGAATTTCTCACAAAAAAGAGACCAATAAAAGTCCATATATTAAACAAATCTTTACCTAAAATGATGAATGAACTCAGACTCATAAAAGTTATTCATTTTGAAACTCTTTTCGTTGAATCATAGAGATTTCACTCCATCCCACAAAGATTAATCATTAATTGTCAAACCTGACAAGTTATGTCTAGGTGGATAATAGTAACATGGATTGAAGTACCAAAAAATTAAAAGTACCCTTGTATAGGGAAAAAAATTTTAATTTACCTTATCTCTAAGAGAAAGCTTTGCAAAAGATGAATTTAATCTCTTTTCCTTTATTTTTATAATTTAAATTCTTGTATTTATGTTAAATGTAAATTTCAATCCTTTCTTAAGGAGAATAATTCATTTATAATTCTCTTTACTATAATACTATAATTAATTATTCACAATAAAAAATTATGTAGGGTTTACCATTTAAAAGTATGAGCTTTACATAATTTTTTATAGACCTATCATAACATTTAGATCCCAAAAATCTATCCATTAAATATAAAAATCATAGTATACATCAATCTTTTTTATTTAGGTGTAATTGGCCACCTATATGAATCTATTTTTAAAGTTATCCCAGTGTAAACTAGTGATCCTTAAAAAGAATATATTCTAGTATATATCAACAGAACTAAGGTTCAGGTGTCAGTTAATTGTAGGGAAGGTTTTAACACCCATTATGTCCAAAATTGATACCAAATTAATTATATATTATCTTACTTATGTCTTAGTCAAAGATGATTTTTTATCATGTGAATAAATCAATTATAATCCTTTTATTTATTTACACAATATGGTCATACAAAAATTTTATAAAAAAAATCATCTAATCATGCAAATCATGCTAAATATCATGCTAATATATAAATTATACCAAAAATCATGCAATATATTAAATTCATAAAAGATATTATGCAAAAATTATCATGCAATAATATAAAATATCATACAAAAATTATCATGCAATAAAAACATCATGCAATAATATAAAATATCATACAAAAATTATCATGCAAAATATAAAATAAATCACACAAATTAATATATTAATGATCATGCAAATAATGCAAACTCATGCAAAACATATATTAAAGCATGCAATTAATTAAATTCATGCAAAAATAAATACCATGCAAAACTAAATTCATAAAACATCATGCAAATAAATTATAAAGTCTTACCAAAGTTTCTTTTCCTCATCACTTTTAAATTCAATCACACAATAATTAATAAAAACAAAAAATAAAACAAAAAAAAGGAAAATAGAAAATAAAATAAAAATCCAAATTGAAAAATCAAAAGAAAAAGAAAAGCAAAATAATGCGTTTTGAGTCTGGTTTTATTGGGTCAACGCGCAAATCCCATGCAGGTGAAAATGTAGGTCCTAGGAAACAAAAAATGATGTTGTTTGTAACCTGTATAAAAGTCAAAAAAAAAATTTTTTTTTTGCTTTTTCTCATATCCCCTTTGTTGCTTATCTCTCTAACTTCTGTTTCTTTCCCTTTCTCTCTAGAAATTCACACCATGAAAATCAAGCAAACCTAGAAATTGGCCAAATTTTGTAGAATTTGGTATCAAAAAATTCAATCAACACTGAAAAGTTCATGCTAAGCCTAGATTTTTTTAGAAATTTAAGCAAAAAAAATCAAAAATTCAAACTAAATTCCTAACGAACCCAGAACTCAAAAATCAATCTTAGGAATTCAAAACAACCAAAAATAAAAAACAATGATCAAATCAAACCTAGAAAACCAAATCTCCAAAATTCCAAGACTCAAGCAAGATTCCAAAATTCCCAAAAAAATAAAAAACTCAAAATCCAAAAACTTTAACAACTCTAATTGCTTAATTGCTTCTATATTACTTGATTGCTTCTTGCTTCCTTGTTGTTTGTTAATTCCTTCTGTGATTATAGATTGGAAGTCCTTTTGTAGGGATAAATCCCACTTCAATTTGGACAAATTTTAATACTCACTAAATCTCCAAGATATTTTTTGGTGTGGTTTTCCTTTTTTCCATGGATTAAAGTTCAAGAATTTCCATAGGCATTATCAGTCAATAAATTCTAGAATCAGAGGTTGAACTAGAATTGAATCCAAGATTTACCCTTTTTGCAAAAGCTAATGTTTTTATTTTTTATTTTTTGGTTTTCTAACTTTTATTTTTTACTTTTCTAACTTTTAACAAATTTTGACCAAAACAAGATTAAACCAAAAAATTTAAAATTGAAAAATAAAAATCCCAATTAAAATTAAAACCAACATTAAAATGAAAATTAAAATGAAAATGAAAATTGAAATTAAAATTAAAATTTTGGGGCTTTTATTCTTTGGACCCAAAATTCACTTTTTCTATTAAGGCCTAATTGCACAATCAAATCAAAATTCAAAGCTCAATGAATTTTGAAAAAAAATCCTCAAATAAAATAAAGTATTTACAGTTACCTCTCTTTGTGTACTTTTCTGTAAAATAGAAATTGTACAAAGACAAAATATATCCATTTTGTTTAGGTCTAAAAAAATTGAAAAAAATAAAATTGCAAAAGATCCTCCTTAACAGAGATTTTGAAACTTTAAATAAAATGCTCCCCGATAACTGAAACTTGAGACTTTAAACAAAATACTCCCCCCATAAGTAAGGCTTGAAACTTTTGAAAAATAAAGTGCCCCTTCACTAAAGCTTCAAACTTTTAAATAAAATGCTTCCCCACAATTGAGGCTTAAAATTTTAAATAAATATATATATGAAAATTTCAAGATCATACATCGAGGTCTTATAGATCATTCTTACTTTTGAAAAAACTTCTCCTTAATAAAGGCATTGAAACTTAAAAAAATCTTACCTTAAACTGATTTCTTTCATTTCAACTGGATCATCATTGATGTCTCTTCTCAAAATCATATGCACTTTCTTCTTACTACTTTCCAAACATATGCAATGAGTGCATACAATGAACGAAAAGATTTTCCAAAATTCTTAAATTTAACTTCAAGATTCAAACTTTAGTTTTCCTATCTTTTTCCAACATGCATGATGCATGAAATGAATAAGATGAATGCATTACATTGTTCTCAACATGATATATGCAACATGTAATGGATGCAATGAATGCAATGAATGCAATGCATGACATGCAAAAATCTTATCAATCATAATAGTTTTGGGACTGTTAGATAATTAAAATTTTAAAATCGAAAAAAATAGGGGAGTCGTTACCAATCTTTTTCAAAAAAATTTATCTTTTTAATAAAATGGTAAAATGGGTTAGAATTTATTAAAAAGATAATTTTGGTCTACAAAAACAAATTGGATTCGGGAGTTGATTACACATGGGGAAGGATTAGCACCCCTACAACAACCACAAAATTTGTACCAATTAATTATGGGCTATTTTAATTCTAGATAAAAATGATTTTTTTATATGAAATTTAATTATAATTCTCTTCCTTTTTAAGAAATATAATTAGTTTAAGAAAAATCTTCATTTATGAATATTATAAAAATCATCAAATTAAAGAAATACATTCAAAGTCTCTAACAAATAAAAGAAAACTACCTTTTTTTTTTTTCGAGCTTAAACTTCTTTTATTTTCTTTGCTAGTTTGGCAAAACACCTTCCTTCTCTTCACCTCTTTCTTCTTCTAGTTGCCCCTCAGTTTCTTTTTTTTTTTTAGTTTCCTCTTAAGCTCTTTTTTTTTTTGAAAAAACCCCTCTTTTATCTTTTGTTCCTTTTTCTTTCTCTTGACCACCTCATTTACTAAACTCTTTACCACAAAACCAAAAAAAAACCTTTTCTTTTTTTTTTTGTTAGAAACCCTTTTATAAGACCCTAAGGTCCCTCATTTTTCTTCCACCTCAAGTTTTTTCTTTTGTCTTCTTTCGCTTTCCTCCACTACCACCTGCAGGGCATTTATTTTATGTTTGTTTTCCTACAGGTTTTTTTTTTTGCTTTATTTTTTTTCAGTAAAATAGCTAGTTTGGCTGATTGTCCCCCCATACATATAGGTTTCAGGTCTTACGCGAATGAGGAAAGACCCATTTCTAATGTCCTGCTATCCTATGCTCCTAAGCACCTTTTTATGTGGGTTTTTGTTTTTTATTTAGGTTCTTCTCCCCTTTTTTTTGGGGCCATACTATGGACTTCATAAAAGGCTTTTAAAAATGCGTTACGGACTGCATTTTGAGCTTTAAA